AGCAGCATTAAACTCCTGAACACAACACCCCAAGGGTGGGCAGCAATCCTGGTGTGACATTCCTTGCAAAATAATTATTTCCCCTTGAACTGGGCCCAGGGATGTGTACTAAAGCAGCAGTTCTGACTGGACACCTGCCAGCCCCAGGTCATGCTGGGCTCCTAAGGGACCTGGATGCAGTTCCCACTCAGGGGCTGCTGCTGCTGTGTCCCAGCTCTGGCAGCCCCATGGCAATGGCAGTGCTGATCCTGCCCCAGAGGGAGCCCCCAAAGGGCTCCCCCTGACCCCCAGCAGCCCCTGCAGTGGGGATCTGCTCCAGCCCCATCTTCCAGTGTGTGAAACCCCCTGGCTCTTCTGGGATGGCATTAAACCCTCCTGCTACACTGACAACACCACGACTCTGCCACTCTCTGATCCTGAGATTCAGCTCAGTTCTATCTCTGAGGGATCCCTTTGCACCACAAACAGCATTTTCAGATGAGGAGCAGCCATCTGAGCAGGCAGATTATACATTTATAAAATAACAAGACCTTTCCTACTTGCTGTGTCCTAGCCCAAAGTTCCCTGCTGCAGCAGTGGAGTCACTGTGAGTAGCTCCATGAGCACAGCAGGAAGCCATTCCATAGTGTAGTTAATTCCAAAGGAGGCTGGAGCTACATCAGAGCAGAGGAAGCACAGCTGCACCTCCCCAGCCTGCTCCCTCCCAGGGAGGGTCACCCAGCAGTTCATGGCAGCAGCAGAGTTCTGGGACACAGCCTGGAGGCTCCCAGATCCTCCAGGAAAAGGTGGGGGAATAACACACCAACACTTTCACTTTGGCCTTCTGCTTCTCTTACAGAGGGAAGTGCTGAGAAGGGAGTGCACACACCTTCCCCAGGGTAGAAAGGAGAGGGGGAGGCTGATTTTGTTCGTTTTCAGGTTTCCTGTGGGATTTAGTGCAAGGTTTAACCCAAGGAAGTGCTTCAGGAAGTACTGAAAGAGCAGGGAAGCTGTCAGGTGAGCTACCTGCATGTCCCAGGGCTGTCTGGCAGCACTGCATGCAAGCAGCCATTTCTTTCCAAGCACAGCTGGAATAAGAAGCAGAGATGATCCCTTTGTCCTTTCTGTTGGATTTTTTAGGGTTGTGGTTCTCCCCCCCCCCTTAGCATGATTTCTTTTTTTTTTTTTTACAATGGCTGTTACCCACTACAGTTTCACAAATGCTGCTGTAAATCTTAAAACCTCATACAGAAAAAAATAGTATTTTAAGGAGCATGCAGGCATGAGCAACTTACAGGCTTGTATTTGAAATGTAAACTTACATTTTATTTCACAAGGTTTACATCCCAAATGGAAGCTGGAGAATGAAGAAATGAGGCTTTAGGAAAGAGAAAATGCAGGAGGTGGGATCCTGCTCTAAGCAAAGCCAGCTGGGCCTGATGATGGGAACCACAAACCAATACCTGACAAACAGAGAATAATTACAAATAAAATACATGGCACAACTGCATAAAATGACACCTACTCACCTTCACAGTATCCAAAAAACCAGCACAAGCAGCTCAAAGCTGAAAATATTTAACTGCACGTTCAGGAGGAAGAAGGAATACTCCAAGTGGGATGGGAAAAGGACAAGAGACTAAAACCCTGCAGCAGCAGTGGGTGTGAGCTCAGTGTTTGTGAGCAGGGCAGGGAATGCAGCACTGGGCAGGAAGGGCCCATGGCAGAGCCAGTGCAGGGTCTGCCACAGCAGAGCCCCTCTGCATGCAAACACCTCCAGTGACCTGAATCATCTGATCAGGTCAGGTGAGTTCAGGTTTGCAAGTGTTCTGTAGTAAAGCAGAAGCTGATAGAATTGGAAAAATATCAATAAAATTGAGGTATTTTCAAGTACTATGGATCCATTTCAGAAATCTGTACCACAGGAGTCACTGAAATGAAAACATGACCCTTTTGAGTTAATGAGTTCTGGCTTAATAAACAAGGTCAGCAGTGGCTCCTTCCCCTGCTAATTAAAGCCTTCCATGAGTGCCTCAGCTCTGCACAGAGTAACTGCTCAGCAGAGTAACTGCACAGAGTAACTGCACAGAGTAACTGCTCAGTACATCATTCTTCATAGCTAAATTCAGGGGAAAAATCGTTTTTTTTTCCCCTTTTACATTTTACATTCATATCACATGACAGACTTTTTGCATCAAGTTGTGCTTTCAGTCCAGACCAGCATCTAGAACTCCAGAGCTGCAGCTGGTGTGGATTTTGCTGAATCCATTCCTGTTGGGCCCAGGAAGCAAACATTCATTGCATAGTGTGATTTGGAAGCTTCCTGACTCTCACCAGTGGCTGCACCCCACACACACTGGGTACAGCCTCCTCTAACATACAGAAGTGCTCCCTGCTTGAAGGAAAACAAGATTATCCTACTCCAAAAACTTCCAGTCAGCAGGAGAAACCAAGTCCAGGTTCCTTGGGCAGGACTTGCTGGCCCAGGGCTGGACTTAGGACCATTGCACACAGAGAAACATCAATGTGATGCTCTGTCTGGGGTTTTGTACCTGAATGGAAAGGGGACAGAAGGGGGGAGGTGACAGTGGCTGTTAGTGGTCAGATATTTTAGAGGATGAACCCAGGAGCAGAGGGATAACAATGGGGGCATCCCAGTAAAGTCCAACAAAAGAGTTCCCTCCTTTCCCATGGTGAGACCACTTGGAAAAGCTGCTCCAAGCTGAGAGAGCTGTAGTGCAGATCCAGTGCTAAGCAGGGAAAGCAGCTCCTGGAGGGGTGGGGACAGTTCCCTGCTGCCTCCCACTGCTCCAGGCTGGAGAGGAGCACCCTCAGCAGCCTCTGCAGCCACACTGACACAGCACCAGAACTGACACTCAAACCTCGATTCTCCAGGCTCCCTGCATGGAGCTGCACCTACAGCACACACCCAGAGGGTGACAGTGACACTGCTGGCAATCCCAGTGGGGACACTTGGGCTGCTCCTGGCACACAGAGGGCTCAGGTGTACCTGGAATGCTGGGCCACCAGCACAGGCAGTGTGAGATCACACAGGATGAGCTGGAATCATGGCAGCTCCCAGAGCTGCAGTGCCCTTGCTGTTGATGGGACTGGGGGATGAATCCCATTCTGGAATGCTGGGATGGAGGGGGCAGGCAGGGCAGAGCTCTGATGCCACAGCCCTTACAGTCAGTGACAATGGTGGAGAGCCTCTGCATGAGGATCAGGGCATGGAAAACAAAGGAGGTGCTGCAGGGGGTTACCCCTGAAGAGCCATTTGCAAGTTAAAGGAATCTATGACACACTGGGCTGAATATTCTCTCTTCTGTCACCTGCAGAGTGACCACAGCAGCCTGAGGAATTTCTGTTCTCCAGTGCATTTACTCAGCATAAAAAGGACAAAGGCCAGGGGTAAAATAAGGATATCATCTTAAGTGAGCAGAAGGGAACAAAATGGAGCTGCTCACTCAGACATGTGGGTTTTCCCCATTTTGTTCTGCCTCATTTTACACAACTTTTGGGTTTGTTTCACATTTCATTAAGCTTTCCAGCATCTGATGTGTGGATATTGAGAAGTGGCTCTGAAGTGATAAACTTTGTGTCGTTCTAACAAGAGTTTGTTCCAGCTATGGGAGGCTGAGCTGCTTTGGAGGAAAGGGAAGAGATGACCATAATTAATTACATGAAAAGTGACTGAATCAAAGTTACTTGGAAACATTTAAAACCCTTTCTCAATCTGAGCTTGGTACCTGTGCCATCCCAAAGATATCTGCCTTAGTATGAGAAGACAAAACCTGATTTTCAGAGCAGCAGCAGGAGCAGGCAGGGGAGCTCCTGCACAGCTCTGCTGCTGCTGCCTGGCACAGAAACAACTCAAATAATGGCAGGGCTGGAACCAGAGCCAAACCCAGCAAGGGCACAAGAACCTGCTCAGAAAACTCCTGTAAATCCACACAAGCTCTGGAAAAATACACTTCAGCTGGCAGGATGAAACAGAATGTCACCAAATCACCTTCCTGGTTTGATACACAAGGAATTTAAAGTTTTTAAAGGCACAAATAGCACCTCTGTAGGTGCTGAATTCTGGCTGTGTTTAGCTGCCATCATCCTCTCAAGCTCCCCCTCCAGAGCACATTCTGCCAGGAATGAGGGGATTAATTCAGCTGTCACCTTGCATCACACACAGCACAAGGTCCAACACCAGATTTACATCAGAAATGCAGCTTTAGACTGACAGGAAAAACCCTTCCAGCACTCAGCAGCCGTTTGGTGACAGAGCCACTCAACAGATGGGGCTCAGGTGGCTGAAGCAGGAGCATTTTCAGTGTTTGGGCCACCCTGAGGAGAGACACAAAGCCCCAGGAGCCTGGGCCAGCCCACCTCAGCCCCTCACAAGGCAATTCAGCAGTGAGACATCCCAGGGGGGCAGCACTGCCTGCTCCACACAGACTGCAGAGGCTGAGGGACAAAATCCCATCCCAGGGCCAGAGTGAAACACCTTCTCTTAGGGAAGGAGCCTCTGCAAGGCTCTCCTGGCTCACAAACACATTCCCTGTGGCAGCAGCAGAGGAACAGAGGAAAAAAGGGGTTTATTCTGTAGGCAAAGCCTCCATCACCAAATTCACCCATCAGCTCCTTTCTCCTGCCATGCACAGCTGCTCCTGTAGTCACTGCCAACACCAGTGGGCTGATAACAAACACAATAATGGGATAGAAAATGGGACTAAATGATCCTAGAGGGAATACACCAATACTTTTAGCATGCACCTAATTCAAACAAGAATGATGGACTGGGCTGAATCATGCAGATTAAAAAAAAAAGGACTCAAGTCTAGAAAAATATCCATAATCCAGCCAGCCAAGTCTCAGTTCCATTCCCCAGAACAGAAACAGGGATACAGCTCTTTGACTGTAAATGCAGCAAAATGCAGAAACAAATCTGATCACCTCTTAGTGCAGAAACCCCTGAAGCCAGTCAGTGCACTGAGCTGGGAAGAAGTCTGAAAAAATTCAATATCCCAATTGTGTCTTCAGCATTTTGGGGCTAAAGCCACCCCTGTGCAGTGAAACTCCAAACATGACTCTTGGAGCCAAACTTCCAGTGCATATTTCAAATTCACATCTTCCTTTCTGACTCCATGAACACACAAATCTCCATCAAACACTGATCCAGGAATGAGAGGATGCTTTAACCCTAGGAATTAATGCAAACTGGACTGTCTGAAGTTCCCTTTTGCATTTTAGAAGCCTGCAAGTAGGATGCAAGAACACTATAACCCAAACTCAAGGAAAATAACATCCCCCCTAAAAACCTTTTAAAAAATCTGTGGCCACAATATTCTTGAATCTTGATACTGGCAATGTGAATATTTTATTTTCACTCACAGCTGCACATGTACATGTGCATGTTCAGCACTTTTGCTTTCAACACTCTTACATTCAGCTCCCAGTTTAGTGCCAGATTTAACTGGGTCTGTCTTGCATTGAGCTGAACTCACTCAGAATTTAAATACATTAGAAAATGCCACTTGTCAGAGAAGGTTGGAGAATCAGCCTCAAAATAAATAACCATCCCCAAGAATATTATGGCTTGGAAGAATTTCAAGAGCTCGAGTCCCTGATGTTTGCAAAATGAAAAGGCCTTCGGAAATGCACTCGCATCAACATTTGTACCTATTTGGAATAAAAAATATATAGTATTTATAAAATAAAGAGAGCAGGCCAAAGAAGACTGGCCACAATCACTCTGTAAAATCGTTCTGTTAACTCTGTAACTTAAATTTATAAAGCCTTGGGACATCTGGACAGCAGGATTCCTGGAGAAGCACTGTGGAATGCAGATTCCCATCAGACAATACTTCAGGATGTTTTCTCATCTTGAAGATCCACCTGTTTTCTGCCCCTCAAAACTGAAGTCCTTGCCAAGAGAAGGGGTGTTGGCTCCTGAGAGAGAAGCTGAAATTTAAAGAAATACAAATGTGCAACCATAGCACTGCTGTTATGAGGGACTGAGGGCTGATCTGGGCTTTGGGAGTCATTTTAAAGCCATGAAGAACAACAGGAAAATGCTGATTTTGCCTGCCCCGGTGGGATGCAGGATGCAGCCCTCACAGAAAAACACTCTGGGGTTTTTCTAAGTGGAACAAGGCAAACTCCTACAATGTGCCAGCAGTGTGGAGGGGAGCCAGGCAGGGATTGCAGTGCCTGCCTCACAGTTACTGCCTGCCCTGGAACCTCATCAGCTCCATTGCCCTGGGGCAGCAGGACACTGTGCCCTCCTCACTGCCTGGGGCAGGATGTGTGTGGGCACCTCCCCTGTTCTCCAAGCCAGAGCAGGAGGCAGAGCTGGGAACGTTCTGGAAGCAGCAGCTGCTCCAGCTGCTGTGGGACTCACCTTTTCCAGGGGCAGGGAAAGCCTGGAGGGGAGTGACAGCTGATGTGACATTACAGGGCACTCCCTTGTATCCCCAGCTGCAACCTGGCTGTGCTCAGCTCCAGTTTAACACCTTACCTGCACCTTCCCACACCTCCCACAGGCCCCAGAGTTTCCATCCTGCCACTGTCCCAGCCATGCTTTCCAAAGGAGCTGCAGGGCTGGTGTCCTCCCCTTCCCTGAGCGCTGCTGGCTCCGGTGTCACCTGTGCCACAGCCAGCCCAGGGCCTCTGAGAGCCTCTGAGAGCCTCTGCTGCCCTCCAGGGCCCCTTGAATAAGGGATTTCTGGGCAAGCTGGAGAATATTTTTCTGGAGAAATATTTTTCTGCTAAAGCCCAAACCTTTTCAACATCACCTCCCCAGTCCCTGCAGAGCAGTGGCTTTGAGGGAAATAAAGGAAGAAGCACTGACCTTTCTGATGCAGCTTGACACCACTGTGTTCTCACACTGCTATGTCTCCCTTTCTATGGCAAGGGATGAGGCTTCACCAGAACCTGTGAAAACCAAAGCAGTTGGAGGCAAACAAATCTGGTTTTCTCACTGAGAATACATTTTTCACTAAGCATGGGATTGTGTTTTTAAGGATAATTACAAACAAAAATAGACAAGCACTTGTCAGAGAGAACTGAACAGCTGTTTTTAACTGAGATTATTATTGGCTTTATTTATTTCATAAGCAAGTCACAAGCTTTGAGGCCAAAAAGACAAATAAAGGTCTTGCAGTTTTAATGGAACATTTCAGGTCTTTCTGGTTAGACACTTTTACTGGTTTACCTGTGTTGTGTAAGAGAGAATTTGAATATTTCAGTTGAAAGGACCCACAGCTCATCCAGTTCAACTGCCTGGAAATGTCATTTATTTTATAAGCTCCATAAATTGGGAGACTTCATATAAGCTCCAGACCATAGTCTGGGGTCTGATCTAGCCAGAAATCACTTCACTGCCACTGTGTTCATATGGAAGAATTAATTATTTATTCATGGAATTTAAAGTTTGTAAAAATTGGAAGAAGCTCTGACTCATTCCTAAAGGAGTTATTTTAAGCATCATTAAAAATTCACAGAAATGCCATAGTTTGCAATTTTAAAGCCAATTTTGTTGGTTTAAAAACTCCTTTGTGTTACCTTGTATAAGTACCAAAATGTATAAAACCAAGCAGGGAGAGCAGGTAAATTTACTCTGGAAATAAAGCTGGACAAAGTATAAAGCAGCTTCCTGAATGCATCCCTGAACTCAGGTGTTTGCATGCCTGATTTCACACACTGTCACAGGACAAATACACTTCAAAAAATCTAAATATTCTCCTCCTTGCAGCACCACTTTACATCCCAAATAACTGGGCTGCATGCAGCAACATTTACATGTAAATACTCTCAGTTTGTGGCAACTTCACTTTCCCTAACCCTTGAAACACCTTTTAAGTTCATTCACCTGCAAGTAGAAATTATTAAAAAAAACAAAGAATTGTTCCCAAAGCAGAGCTTATTTTTAGCCTGTGCTCATTAATCAGGTCCCAGCTTCTCAGGGACTTAAGCAACAGTTTTTTTATTTGATTATCTCTTATAGTTCATTTATTGGCCACTGTAGGTCAGGACAACTAATTGCACTGATTCCTTACCCTGAGGCTCCTCATCTATTCCATCCTCTTCCCACTGCTCCTCATTTGTCAGGAGAGGGTTCCGAGCTTCACTCAAGGTTCTCATGGGGAAGAAATGTCCATCACCCTGGCTGCATGGAAAAGGGACAGAGGGACACTGCAAAAGCTGCAAGGACTCTAAAAGATGACAATTTCTCTACATTTTTTCTGCAAAGTTTTCTGTTGCCAGTATTTCCCATGTTTACTTAAAATCAGCTTTAAGCTTGAAAAGCACCGAGTTTGTCTTTCACTTTGGTTCTCAATTTTTTCAAGGTTTCTGGAGTACAAAAGTTGAAACTTGTGGAAATCAAGTAATTTTTAGCAGAAGGTAAATATGTTAATTTGATCAAGTAATTTGAATACAGGAAAAAAAGCCCTGGAAAAATTAACTTGTGGGCAGTTAGAAGTGAAGGGGAACTAAGGAAAGCATTTATGAAAACTAAACAAATAGGTATAAATTTTATCAATTTATCCCAGAGATTCTTCAGGGCAGAAATCTCACTTGTGTTTGAGTGACACCCAACAGGAAATGGCCCCACTCTTACTGAAAGTCACATAAAACCCCCACTTTCCTGTAACCAAAGCCTGTACACAATCTGTGAAAAACTGCAATTACATCAGCTTTTAGCAGGGTTACTTACCTAGAGGCAATAGGCAGCAACCAGAGCTTTTTTTCTTCCCCAAACACTTGCTGGAGATTCTTCACAAAGCCAAGATTGAATCCATTTTTATCTGGGCCATTTTGAAACACTGGAGCTGAGAAAGCCTCTGCAAACAGAGGCAATTTTGGTGGAAAAAAATAAAAATCAATAGAAACACTCTGAAAGAGTTGTGCATCTTGTAACCATCTAAAGACAACATGATTTAACAGATTATAGATACACAGCACTACAGAGTTTCAAAATCATGTTTTTCCCATTTTGCAAAGCCTGTAAAGACTTTCCAGCTGAAGGCAGGAATTTGGTTGTGCAGCTGAACCTAGAGAACAGTCAAAGCAACCCACAAGGGTTTCATCCTGAGAATGAAATGGGGCACTTGATGAAATTCCTGTGAGAATTGATGAAATTCAGAGGGTAAAAGTTGCTGGGTAAAAAACTCTGCAGGATGAAGGAGCTTGGTGTTCAGTGCATACTCCAGAAGTGGCACTGCAGATTTAAATCCCCTCATTTGTTAATGTTAGAGTGAACAAGCACTAGGGATAAACAAATGCAAATAAGCTCTGGGTTCTGGTGGGGCATAAAATTAAGAAAAGAAGGGAGAGAAGAACCTTGAGTGTCTTAGGAACAGTTTGATCTCCCTTCTCAGCTGCTGCACAGGTCTGATCTTTTGGGATAGATGAGCTTCAGTGCCCCATGAAATGGCTTTTGAAGTAAATTACTTGATAAAATCAGAATATTTGCACTCTCTTGATAGTGTCTGTTTTGTTACAAAACTTTATCCCAAAAGCTTTGAAAGTTGAACATTTATCTAAGGAAAGGCAAAGAAATTTTGGCAAAATGATGCTATTTTAGATGAGAATTTCTTTGATTTTACAGTCACAACTTCTTTGCCTTTATCAGTGAAGATGGACACTGTGTTTCCCAAGCTCACCAAGCTGATTGGGGTGCACCTCAGTACAGGAATAAACCATTATTCCTGAAAAGCTGCACTCATTTCACAGCAAATGCAGTTTTACATATGCATAACACTTTTATAATTGGACTTCTACACATTAAGGCTTTGGTTTCCCTAACAAAGCTTTTGTCACACCAGCTAATAAATGCAGCTCATTTGCAGTGACAAATTTCTGCAGCTTGTACCAAGATCTTAAATCTTCCTCCCCTCATAAACCAGCAGGAATGTACAGAAATAGAACAAATGCCTTTTTTCTTCTCTTTTTTTTCCTTCTTACAGCACTTTTGGTGTGTCTTACTAGAAGGAAGAGACCAAAGAGCCTTACCTAGAGTGGATCTGTTCCTGCTGACCAGCCAGCAGTGGTAGCCAAACAGAAACATGAGGCTCACAAAGAACATGATTGCCACAAAGAGAAGGAAAAGGATGTGAAATTTGGAGCGTCCATTGGTCAGCTCACCCTGGAAAGGAAAGCAACACAGAACAAGTGATGGGAACAAATTCAAGATGGAAATTATTTGTACTTAGAAATATAATTCTAAAACTCCTATTGGGAGTTCTCAAACTTTTCCAGACAAAAGTGAACATTATTAAATAAAGCAAAAAGAGACAAAGAAATGAATGTGGTTCATTTCCCCTCCTGTACCACAGCACAAAGAGTGGGGGTGTTATTAACCCTTGGTATGGCTCTGAGCCAGCCCACCACAGGTGGGCATGAGGAGCACCCTGTGCCTGGGGAAATGAGCAGGTGGCAGCTCTTGAAGCCCTGTTTAAGTTCTGCTGAGGTTCCTGTGCATACATTAAAATTCTGCACCTTGCTCAAGGTAAGCCCAGAGAAAGCTGCCCTGCACACCTGCAGCTATTGGGGAGTGTTAGACCTGAGCACAGATGGATGGGGAAGGGTTAAAGGCCAAGTGGGACACTCCAGGCAGAAGAAGGGCTCCTTTCCCCCTGCAGCACAAGAGCCAGGTGCCAGAGGTGCCCAGCAGGGACACAGGCAGGCTCTGGGGACATCCAGGGCTCAGGGCTGTGCCTTGCTGAGTGTGGGGAACAATTAGTGCACAGCAAAGGGACCTAAACACAAACAGACACAGGCACTGAGCAGAGGGGACAGAAATGGGGACCAAGGGCCAGTGTCTTACTGGAGCTGTCAGCTGGCCTTGCTTGCATAGAAACAACCAGCAGTTACTGAATAAAAGGCTCCTTTGGGTCACTGTTTTTATATTGAGAAAAGAGGCCTATGGGGGTTAGAAAATGAACAAGGGTGTTTTACCCCTTTTTTTCTTTTCAGTAAATGTGTACAAATCATTGCCAGGACCTTACACATCAATGCCAAACTTTCCAAGGGACACCCATGCAAACACTAGGACAGGGAAAGAACAGGACCTCTCTGCCAGAAATAATCTACAGTCTGAAATTCCTGGCTTCTTGCTTTGTGCATTTTGGGCATCTAACAGGAGGTGGAGTCCCAAAGGGCCCAGGAAACAGCTCCCAGGAAAATGCAGCCCCTCCACTGCCTGAGGGCAACAGAGCACCGAGAGTCACTAAAGCCCACGAGACTGACAGGAGATGAAAAAGGAACCGGATTTCATGACTTACTGTCCAATACTTAATGAAATACTTGAAGACTGTTGCAGCAATATACAAGCAATACAACAAAGAATAGGCTAAGAACAGTAGAAAGAATTTGTAGTTAGAAAATCCAATGCAGTTATTCACCCTGGAGGACAAAAGCAAAGTTGAAATCAGGATTGGTGCAGCACACGGTGGTTGTAACACAAAGAGCACGAAGCAGTTTTGGGGCGTTTGGAAGCCCTGGGTCACACAACCGAATTTGCCAACGAGCAGCTCCCCTTAGTGGCCGAAAGGGAACAGAACCCACGGCTCCGCTTTTCCCTCCAACCCTTCCCGCGGGCCGAGGAGAAGCACAGCTCCGATTTTGGAATTGCTTTAAGGTTGGTACCGCAGCTCAATGGGTCACAGAGGCAGCAGCTCGTTCCTCCCGTCTGCCTCTTGTCCGCCAAGGAATCTGAGCCGGGAGTTCTGTGCTACTTCATTCCTTTGCAAACCTCAGGAGCCACCTCAGCCCTGCCTGTTTGTTACACACAGCCCAACTCACCCCACAGCTGGTTGGAATTCTCCATGCACAGGACAACTCTAGAAAGGAACACGGGGATGTACAAAAAACCCCAGTGGGTGTTTGTGTCAGAACTCAGGTTTGGAAAATCCTCTCCAATTTTGATCAGCAGGAAGGTTCAGGTAGGGAAATGTTTGTGTCGTTTCTGAATTCTTAAATCTTCCTTTTTTTTTAAAAAAAAGGAGGAATTTAAGAAATTTAGTGGCAGCAATTCTGAAAGGTGTAAAGCTCAATTATTCCATGCAGCTTTCTGCACAGACTGTCTCTGACTATCATCAGTCCAGAAACAATCCATGTGCAATTGTTGTTATTGGAAGCACCCCAAGTGCAGCTGAAACACTGAGAGAGCCCAAAGGAAAGGCTAAGCTGGAGTTCTTTTCAAATTTGAATAATAGTTAATGAGTGAATTAGCAGTTGGGGTTTAAACTTTATCAATATTATAGCATTTTTACACATGGGTTATGGAGCAAATGTGAATGATTTGTTAAAATTTAATTTCAGGCAATTTCAAAGTGCAATTATTTTATAAGTTTCCCAAACTAAAGAGATGGATGGCCTAAAATGTGAGAGGCATACAGACATGAGAGGAATACAGAAATATATCTAAGTAACCTTTCCTTTCAGAAAACCACAAACCAGTTATCTAGGACATACCATGGACAATGATGATCCATTTTTAGCACACACCTGCAAAAGGACAAAAAAGAAAAATGGAAGATTTTTAATTGGTACTTCATTACCAACTGCAGATCAACAGCAAAACTTTGATTTTTGTGAGGCTTCTACACTATAGATACTCAAAATGATGCTGTCTCTAAGTTTTATAAGGCAGATATAATTTTAAGATGGAACATTTCTTAGTGTTTGAAGACCAACCAATGTCCTTATGGAGATAGAGAGATGAGAATGATTCCTGCCCTGGAGCACTGCTGCTGCAGCTGGGACAGAGAGCCTGGGAACCTTTTTGTGTGAACAGACACATGAAGGAGCAGCCCACTCCCAAAAGCTTGTGGTGACTGTACTCAGTGAAGGACAGCCCATGACTTACATGGCACAAACAGAGCAGTGGTGACAGCGGTCAGGTTTGATCAGCTGGCATCTGTCACAGAACCGAATCCCTGCAGTCAGAGACAAATGAACACAAAACTATGCAAAAGTGCTCTTCTTTTCATGTCTTAGTTGATACTGGGCTCATTTCCTAACTATTTCTTTCCTCTCTCACTTCAGCAGGTGACCTGGTGTTTACTGCAGGTCACAATCAGGTAAGCAACACTCATCATTCTGAAGGACACTTGCAGATGGGGCAACAATGAGTGAAAGCACAAAATCATAGAATCATGGAAGGCTTTGGGCTGGCAGGAATTCTACAGCTCATCTCATTCCACCCTCTGCCATGGCAGGGACACCTCCCACTGCCCCAGGCTGCTCCAAGCCCTGTCCAACGTGGCCTTGGGCATTGCAGGGATCCAGGGACAGACCCAGCTGCTGTGAACCCGTTCCAGGGCCTCAGCACCCTCACAGGAAGGAATTCCTTCCAAACATCTATCCCAAACCTGCTCTAACTCATACAGCCAGCTCCAAAGTGACAAACCAAAGCTGAACACTGGCATCCACATTTACTCAGACACCTACATTTCATTTTGACAATTCCCTATTTATTCCAGTTCTCTGCTTCTTTGCTTTGCCTGACAGAAACAAGCAGGTCAGAGCCTCCAGTATGAACACAGATTTCTTTAAACTGTGAAGGGAGGGCAACAGGCATTTAACTACTGAACACAGTCCAGAAAACTGGTCACAGAAGTATGTGCTGCATCCCTAAGCCAGACTCCATTTTAAGTAAAAATTATGACAGATTTGATTATTCTATTGCTATTCCTAAATACAGACAGCACATTGGGCTTTTGGACTGTAAATCCAAAGGGTAACATCTTGCTTCTCAAAGGCAGCACCTGGAACTGCACTGAATCAGAGGGTTCAAGGCTTTTTTTGGTTTTGCTGTGAGCAGTGGAGAGCAGGGTGCCTGGGAATGCTGTGGCTCAGCAGGGTGCTCTGGGTGCCAGCCTGGGCTGCTGGGGTGGGACTGGGTGGGTTTGGGGTCCGTGCCGGGCTGACCTCCATTGCCTGTCCTCACCTCCATTGCCTGTCCTCACCTCCATTGTCTGCCCTCACCTCCATTGTCTGTCCTCACCTCCATTGTCTGTCCTCACCTCCATTGCCTGTCCTCACCTCCATTGCCCGTCCTCACCTCCATTGTCTGCCCTCACCGCCACCACCCGTCCTCACCTCCACTGCCCGTCCTCACCTCCACTGCCCGTCCTCACCTCCACTGCCCGTCCTCACCTCCATCGCCCATCCTCACCTCCATCGCCCCTCCTCACCTCCATTGTCTGCCCTCACCTCCATCGCCCGTCCTCACCTCCACTGCCCGTCCTCACCTCCATTGCCTGTCCTCACCTCCATTGCCTGTCCTCATCTCCATTGCCCGTCCTCACCTCCACCGCCCGTCCTCACCTCCACTGCCCGTCCTCACCTCCATTGCCCGTCCTCACCTCCATTGCCCGTCCTCACCTCCATTGCCCGTCCTCATCTCCACTGCCCGTCCTCACCTCCACCGCCCGTCCTCACCTCCATTGCCTGTCCTCACCTCCATTGCCTGTCCTCACCTCCATTGTCTGCCCTCACCTCCACTGCCCGTCCTCACCTCCACTGCCCGCCCTCACCTCCATTGCCCGTCCTCACCTCCATTGCCCGTCCTCACCTCCATTGTCTGTCCTCACATCCATCGCCCGTCCTCATCTCCATTGTGTGCCCTCACCTCCATTGCCCGTCCTCACCTCCATTGCCCGTCCTCACCTCCATTGCCCGTCCTCATCTCCATTGTGTGCCCTCACCTCCATTGCCCGTCCTCACCTCCATTGCCCGTCCTCACCTCCATTGCCCGTCCTCACCTCCATCGCCCGTCCTCACCTCCATCGCCCGTCCTCACCTCCATCGCCCGTCCTCACCTCCATTGCCCGTCCTCACCTCCATTGCCCGTCCTCACCTCCATTGTCTGCCCTCACCTCCACTGCCCGTCCTCACCTCCACTGCCCGTCCTCACTTCCATTGCCCGTCCTCACCTCCATTGCCCGTCCTCACCTCCATCGTCTGTCCTCACCTCCATTGCCCGTCCTCACCTCCATTGCCCGTCCTCACCTCCATTGCCCGTTCTCACCTCCATCGTCTGTCCTCACCTCCATCATCTGCCCTCACCTCCACTGCCCGTCCTCACCTCCATTGTCTGCCCTCACCTCCATTGCCCGTCCTCATCTCCATTGCCCGTCCTCACCTCCACTGCCCGTCCTACCTCCATTGCCCGTCCTCACCTCCATTGCCCATCCTCACCTCCATTGCCTGTCCTCACCTCCATCGCCCATCCTCACCTCCATCGCCCGTCCTCACCTCCATTGCCCGTCCTCGTGTACACCGGCAGCTTCCTGGCGATCTCGGCGAGGATCTGCCGCTGCACCTCGGGCCTCTCCTCGTTCTCGTAGCGCTCCTGGTCAGCGTAGGACATGTGGAACTGCAAGCAGAGGGCACCAGAGCAGCGCTCAGCCACGGGCACCACTGAGCTTTCACTACAGGAGCCTTTCAAACCCAGCTCGGCTTGGAAACGCTTTTACCTCCCGCTCCTGAGATTAATGCCGGGGGAAATGTGGTTGTTAAGAAGACAAAGGGAGGCAGTGAGTGCTGGAGAGCCAGAATACTGAGAGACACAGCAATAAGAAATGAAAAAGTGAAATTAAGGCTCATAAAACAACTTACTAGAATTGCTCCTATTGCTGCCCTAGATGAATACCATTACTCATCTTTATAACACATTCAGCACCTCTCTAGTGAGCAAGAACCTTTATATTTTTAAATTTTTAAAACTGGGAGTAGTTGTTATTTATAAATTTACATTCTTGTAATCAGGATCAGAGCAAGGCCGAATATATTTGGAGTGCCACACAAATATTGACCTCATTTTGTTGCCTCAATCTGAGTGTTTTATTGCTATTTCATAGAGAGGTAAAACAAAATGTGAAAAAAAAGGTAACAAAATGTGAAAAAAAAAGTAAATCTACTAATCCAAGCAAGGTGACAAAGTAAATATTGGGTTGAAAAGAATTAAGAGACATTTGCCTCTGACTCTCCTCTTCAGATGAACTAGTCTGAAGGATTTTTGAGTTCTCTTTAACATCTGTGCTTCTGTTTTGCAAGGAATGAAAGGTGTTGGCTCTCTTACCTTTTTGCCTGGTTGTATTGGGAGAGTGAAAACAGACTTCCAATATGTCCACACAAAGAGCACAAAGAGAATATGGAATACTACAAGATAGGCCACTAAAAACAAAACGAGAAAAGAAAAAAAAAACAGAAACAGAGTAATGACTTCTTAAGCAAAGGTTTCATCCACAATGGGCATAATTCAAATTTTGCACAACAAAGTCAAAAAAAAACAAAAAAGAAGAAAGGAAAATACAGAAATCCATCCAGTGCCAGCCATTATTGTAGTCCAGCTAAACCTCATGGCTGAGGGTCAGCAGCACCCCAGAGCTCAGAGTGACCAAACTCAGAGCCTCCCCTGCTCCACCTGGTCCCACTCTTTGGGAGAGGAAGATGAAGCTGCCACAGAATTGTCCCACAGGGCAGGTGACAACCCCATATCCCTGGGACTGACAGGATTCCTGTCTCTTGCCCACATCCCAGGCACAAGCCCAGCAGATCTGGCTGGTGCTGAGCTGGGTAAAGGTGAATTTTGCTCCTCCCAGTATTGAGGTTCAGTTGCTGCTAAAAGCAGTGGGAAGCAGAGTGTGCACTGCCCACTCCTGCACCATGCTCTTCCTGTGAGAGCAGAAATGATATGAGCTTTACATCACCAGGAAAAGCCTAATTAAACATCTTTTACATTTGCCACAACTGATCCAATAAATCAGGAAAACTTCCCTCAAATTGATCAAAACAGGGCTTGTGATTACTGAGGAAGAATTGCAAACCAGCCCATGTCAGAACAGTCTCAGTTCAATGTGCAATCTGATTCCAGAGCCTTTGGCATGAGCAGGCATGGCCAGGGAGCCAAAGGAGCTGTCCTTCAGCTGCACAGACTATTTGCCATTTCTTTACCACTCAACTCAATAAGACATTCTCAAAGGTACAAGATAGTTTTATTTAAACACATCATTTCATTGCAGTAACAATCTCGTTTCCCCATTTCATTTAAGCTTCAAATTCTAGAAAATAAGATTAAAATAACTAGGTGGAAAGAGAAATCTAAAATTCAAACACTTCTTAACTATGTCAAAACACTTCTTTTCCTGTGTGAAAACTGGTAAAAAAGGCCAAATGCATCAGTGAGATTTTCTAATGAGACAGCAAATGATGGGACACATCTCCCAAGGATGTGATGGACTGTGGGAAGGAGCTGTGAATCACAGCTAAGTCATTCTCATGCTCCAAGCTGGTTTGAGATGTTATCCTCACACTACAGGTGGAGTTGAGCCATTTTTAATTATTATGGAAGGAGATAAATCTTGCAACAGGTTTAATTTGGTTGATCAGCTAGCAACACATTAGAGGAAGCTGACCTGGAGATGCACCCACAGATTAGGCAACAATTAACTTTCTTCTGTCATTACCATCCTGCTTTCTGCAGTTTCTCTTTCTGTAGCAATTTCAAACATTAGAGCTGCTCTATAGAGGAAAGGGAATTTACTGGATGATCTTTAAATGTCAGCTGGCACTGCTCTGCATGGAACAGTTTACACTACACCTACTCCTGCCCTTCACAACCCCTGAAGAAGAAGAAAGTCCCCAAAAGAACACCTGGATTAGCCAAAAGCATCCAGAGCACCTCCAGGAAAGAAGAAAAATGTGAAAATAGCCAGTGACTCCTTATTCTGAGAACATGGCCATTACCTCCACCAACACACCAGTCTCAGGAGTGTCACTGAGCAATCCTACTGTGCTGTGACTCAGGGTCTGCTAGTGGGCACCAGAACTGAGAGAGAAAACTTATCAAAAATAGCTTGCACTGAAAGATCAAACAGAACACTGAAAAAAGCCAGGTGGGCTGCAGATGGGAACTAGTGTTTTCTGTTTGGCTTGTAAAATCAGCTCTGGAAATGTGAAAGGGAAAGGGAGAAGAGGGGTGTGGGTGTGCACAGACACACAGAGCTCTCCTGAAAGAGCCAGAGGGATCAGAGCCTTTCCATGCTCTGCCCAGACTGTGACCAGACAGAGCATTTCCCTCCCAGTGCACCCAGGAGCTGCAGCATCTGAGCACCTCAGGAGGGGGCAGTTACAGCAGGAAACACTGAAAGAGGATGCACCTTAAAAAAATGACAGCAAATATGTCTGATATTTCAGCCAGAACATTTATGAGTCCTTCTACACGAGGGGTGCATGGCAAATAATAAATTATCACACATACCTTTCTCCACAGGGTTGCTCACAGTCACTGGAAAAGAAAAAAAAACAAGTGTCCACAGAGGATATATGAATCCCAGAGAAGTTTGTGACAATTAACATTTCTGTGTGAAATACAGCCATTTTAGGAAAAATGTTCAAATTCAAGAGGCAAAGAGAGAGCCCACAGCTCAGCATCAAACCAAAAGTATCCCTACCAACTCTTCACTCACGCACACACCCACAGCAAGATGTTCACTCACTCGTACTGATGCTGTCTTTTCCCTGCTTATAAAATATATTCTGTATATTTTGCATTAGAAATATGATAAAAGCAATCCTCTGGTGACAGTGAGAAGATCACCAGGGCTCCTCTAGCACCTCTGTCTCTGCATTTACCACACACTTGCAGCTGCTTTCTACTCATCTTCAGGTGGTCTTGACCCTCCACTGTAAGCACTGTCCCAAAGCATTTCTGCATCAACAGGATTAAAAATTATAAATTTCTCAGCTTTGGCCAAGTCACAGCAACTGCAGTGAGTTCATTGTTTTTACACCACCTACCAGCAGAAATTTTACAACCCCTTCTTACTCCACCATAATGAGAGAAAAGCCCCTCCTAACAACAGAAGGCCTCTGAGCAAGCAGCAAAAGGTGCATTGTTCAATGTCTTCTTGTAGTGACTGTTTGAAAATCCATCCACTATCTGAAAAGCCAGCATCCAAGTTTAACAGAAGAGACAAGGACAGCTTTCTTGAACTGAAAACAGCGAGTTCAGTTAGAAATATCTGTGATATTTCTATAGGGCATTGCTTGGAAAACAAAGCTTTGTGACACAGAGCAACGTAGATGAAAAAAGAAACCGAATCTTTGTTGTGTCTCTGCCCACTCAATTTCAGGTAAACAAGACTGTTAGGAAACCTCCTGTTTTTCCTTTGCTTTGCTGCCAGTCAGGCTGTGATGAGCTTTTCACAAGCACTGCCCGGCTCCCTCCTGACCACACCTGCAGCAGGGCCTGGCCCAGGATTTACCTGAGCCAAGAGCACAAAGATCCAAAAGGTTCTGTGGAGGATCATCGCTGTCACTGCAGCCACCAGCCAAACAAGCTCTGAGGCCTCCTCCTGTGACTCACTGGCCAGCCCAGCACCGAGAGCTCAAAGAGCATCAGGAGATGCCTCCCAGACATCACCCCCACGGCACTGCCAGTGCTCGGCACAGCTGAAAATGCAAATCCAGATTCCAGACAAAGCATGCACTATTTACAGGCTCCCAGCAGCTGAGAAGAGGCAGCCAGCTCAGCAAGCCTTGCTGGGTTAGAAACGTGGAGAGAGACAACATCCTGCTTGGCAAGTCACAGCACAGGCCAACAGTTCATGCTCAAATCCTGAAATAATTCAATCATTGCAACTTCTGCACAGATCAACTCCTCCACACACAAATAAAAGCAATGAGAGAGAAACGGGGCAAAAAAACCGGGTGGGTGTGGGCAAATGAATGAATTTAAGCTGTGATTCCACACAGCAAGCTGAGCTCCTGCCAGCTGAACCAGCACTTGCAGAGCAGCACAGCCCCAACCCAAACCTCACTCAAATCACCTGAGCCTCCTCCAGCAGCTGCACTGGGACCTGGGACCAGCCCCTGCTCAGTATTCCTGAATTTGCACAGCACATCTCCAAAGACTGACAGTGTTCCAGGAAAATACTCCACATTTTTTGTCAAATCTTCTAATGACAGTTCCATGCACCTCAGAGATATCATCCAATGTGAATTCTTGAAAGAAACAGCCCACAGTCTCAGAGATGGGATAAATGTGATGAAGTGTTTGGGGACTTTGCCAAGATGCTGATTAAAACAGACCAAAGAAACTGCATTTCATTCTAGCTCCCATGGAGAAAAAAACCAGCAGGTCTCACTGCACTGCCAACCCTAACAAACACCCGATTTAAGTTTGCTGTGCAGCACCAGAAGGCAGCTCCTGCCCCAGGAACATCTCAAACCATCCTTTCTGGGACCTCTGCTTTCATTTGTCTGCCTTCCTCTGTCCTGAGGAGTCACAGCTCCTTCTCACAATTGCACAAATCCAAGCTTCCAGCTCTTCTCTTCACCAGAGCTGACAACTCTTTTTTCCAATAGCACAATAAACCAGACATAACAAACATAAGAAAGTTTGCAACTTACTATACAGTTAAATTGTTACATTAAATAAACAATTACTAGCAGCATAAAGCTTCCTCTTCTAAAATGTAGTGTTTTCAGTGCTACTGTAACAACCCCACGCCTGAGTATGATTCCATATCTTTCCTTTTCAGAATACAAACATAAAACGATTGTACGGCAGGGCACAGCCTGATGTTTGTTACTGTTTAGCTCATAAATCACATCTGGACCTTATCAAATCACAACAACGCCGCCTTTCACGGTGGGATCACCGTCCCAGCCTCCCAAACGCCACCTCCCTGCTCCAGGGACACACAGAACAAGGGCCCAGGACCGACAGACAGCACCCCCCAGCCCGCACCCCGCCCGGCCCGGCACAAACCCTGCGGAAAGCGGGGCAGCACGGCCGAACCCCCCTGATCCCGAGCAGGACTCGACCCGTACTGAAGTGTTTGGATCGGAGCTCGGGACACCGGGGCGGGCGCGGGGCCCCGCTCACACCGCGGACACGGCAGCAGGAGGAGGAGGAGGAGGAGGAGGAGAGCGAGGAGGAAGTGGAGAAGGCGAGGAAGAGGAGGAGGAGGAGGAGGGAAAGAGGAAGAGGAGAAGGGAAAGAGGAAGAGGAGAAGGAGAAGGGAAAGAGGAAGAGGAGAAGGGGAACGGCCGAAGCCCCCGGCCCGCCGCGCCCCCCGTCCGCAGCTCCGCGGGGGCCCCGGCAGCACCGAGGGGCGGCCCGAGGCGGGGGTCCCGCTGGGCGCGGACGGCGCTCACCGAGGCAGAGCTCGCAGACGTACGCGTAGTAGGACCAGAGCAGGAGCAGCGCGATGAGCAGCACGGGCAGCCAGGCGAAGGCGCGGCGGCAGCAGCGCAGCCCCCGCCACAGCGCCATCCCGCCGCCCTCAGCGCCGCGCATCGGCGCGCGGCTGCGCGGGCTGCCCCGGGGCCGGCGCGCTCGGCGCTCGGCTGAGCGGCCTGCGCGCAGCGGCGCCCCCTGGCGGGGCGGGCGGGCAGTGGCGCTCGGGCTGAGGGAGCGGCGCTGCGGCCGCGTTCACCTCACAGCCCGGCCGAGGGAGCTTCGCTCCGGCCGCTCTGTCCCCTCACAGCCCGGCCGAAGGAGCTTCGCTCCGGCCGCTCTGTCCCCTCATAGCCCGGCTGAGGGAGCTTTGCTCCGGCCGCGTTCACCTCACAGCCCGGCCGAGGGAGCTTCGCTCCGGCCGCTCTGTCCCCTGACAGCCCGGCTGAGGGAGCTTCGCTCCGGCCGCTCTGTCCCCTCACAGCCCGGCTGAGGGAGCGGCGCTGCGGCCGCGCTGTCCCCTCACAGCCCGGCTGAGGGAGCTTCGCTCCGGCCGCTCTGTCCCCTCATAGCCCGGCCGAGGGAGCTTTGCTCGGGCCGCGCTGTCCGCTCACAGCCCGCCCGCGCCGGCTCTGTGCGCTGGGGACGGCAGGGACGCGGTGCTGCCCCTCTCTCAGCCCTGTGGGCACACCCGGGGCGCTGTGTGCCGCTCCGGGCTCCGCAGAGCAGCACACCCGGGACTGCCGAGGTGATGGCGGGGCTGGAGCGTCCCTGTGGGGAAGGCTGAGGGAGCTGGGGCTCAGCAGCCTCGGGAGGAGACGGCTCATCCATAAATGTCTAAAAGGAGCTGTCGCACCAGGCTTTGCTCCGGGGGCCCAGCAATGGCACCAGCGGAACTGATGCTCGGGAAGTTTCAGCTGGACATGAGGAAGAACTTCCCTGGCAGTGCCCAGCCCTGAGCAGAGAGCAGAGAGGCTATGGGGTCCTCCTCCCTGGGGATATTCCGGAGCTGCCTGGACACGATCCTGTGCCCTGTGCTCTGGGATGGCTCTGCTGGAACAGGGAGGTGGTCCTGACCCATCCTGGGACCTTACAGCACTGTCCTGTCCTCTGCACAAAGAGCTTGGCACTGCCTTCAATTTCCCACATGCCTAGGAGTATATATATATATATATTATATATATATATATATACAAACACACTTTCATATATAAGTGAATATATATGTAATATTCACGTACTACTATGGAATATCCATGGGATGATCAGATTCCAGACAACTCGTGGAACAAAAGGAATGCCCTCTTCAACATGGTATTTAATGTACAAAAAAGAAAACGAAAAGAACCCCCCTGCCCCAGACTGCTCCACAACCCCCTCTGAATTCTGGTAGGAATCTCCTCATTCCCACTCAGTGATTTGAGTTGCAGCTCCAGGTAATTAACTCCACTCTATCATGTCTGGTAAGGAAATTAGTTTTCTCATCAAGAGAATTACTTATCTGACAGAATGTTCTTCTGACAAACCTCTGGTGTAATTTGTGACACTTTCTGGTCACCTCTTTGTTCAGCAAGGTTTTTTCCCCCTCAGAATTTGTTCTAAAACTCCCTTATTGGGATCACACTTGGAGCTGTGCTGCCTCCACCAACCCTTTCCTCTTTATGGGTACAGGCACCACCTTTGCCATTCTCCTGCCCAGATCAATGAATTAAGGCATCACCCACAAATCCTCAGACCACACCTGTAATTCCATATTTAGTTCTCTCAATATTTTATGAGGGATATGATCTACAACCTCTGTTTTTTTCAAAAAATCTGTTCACTACTGAGGTGACAGCTGTTTTAAGCTGTTCTCTACCCTGCTCAGGCTTTACAATCAGTATTATCCTCTTCTCCAGCTACTCAAGTGTTCCTTTAATATAAAGCATGAACATTTGGCACCTCTTTTAATTTTCTGTGTGTGGTTGAACTTAACCAAGATTTTGGGTAGCCTCTGCTGTACACAAGTGCCTTGCAGACAGGATAACATAGGTTGGCCTGAGCTGCATGTGACCCTTAACTAGAAATTTATATTTATTTTTTTATATATACACACACATATGAAAAACCTCCTCCCAGGAGATTCAGGAAGGGCATCTAGAACATAAACACCCCAAGTTTTGAGGATTTAGGAGAAGAAGATGAGAGTGCCCCCTTGCTTGCCCTCCTTCCCCCACTGCATAAGTGCTGAGAAGGAATATTTTTGCCAGCAATACATTTTATAATCAGTAACATTTAAAAATCACTTTTGTGAGTTAGATCACTCCCTGAAGCAACTCAGAATCTCCTCTCCTGAGAAAGATGGGATGAGCAGCACATCCAGGGACATTTTTCCTGCATGTTGCTGTGAAGCAGGGAGGCCCCTTCCCAACAGAAAGCAGAGGAACAGGCAGAAGTGAGCAGACTGTGTCAGGTAGAGCCTCTGCAAATAAAGTTCAGACTTTTTCTTTTGTTCAACAGCCAATTTTAATGTGCTCTAAGGTCCACATGGATCATCCTCAAAATTCTTGTTTCCTGGGCTTCCAGGGGACACTTACACATAAACATGAGTTCATCTGAGGTGAAATTCCCAAATGCAGCTCTTTGAAACAAAACCATCAGGTGACCTTAAATCTTGTGATTCTTAGGATGTGTTTCTGCACTTGTGGTTCTGCTGTAGCTCCCATCTGATAAAGATGGAGTGAGATATGGGATAATGCACCTCGTGCCCTTTCCAGAAATCAACACTGCACGTGGTATTCAAAGTAAATATGAAACCTAAATTGACCTTCAGCCAATTGTGAAAGGAGAGAAAAACCTCTCTGGGTGTGCAGCTGATTGGGCTCCACAGAAACTACAACAGTGGCATTATCCTAAATAACATCCCTGTCCTTAATTTTAACCCTGACCATGAGCAGTTTCCTGCCAAGACACATTTCACAAGTTTGAAACAGGGAGAGGAACTTCTGCAGAGTTCAGCAAGCTGTGCTTGCACCCATGGTGTAACTACACTGTTCAAAACTACTGCCACAGACTGCAGAAAAGCCCCAGCCCCAGCAGCTTTAGGGTAATTTAAATAAGGCTCATCATCACTGGTTCTTCTGGAGAAACAAATGAAGTGCTTGAAGAGAGGAAGATGGTGGTGACTCACCAGGGGCACTCTGGGCATCAGGGAACACCTCATCCCCAAGGCCAGGGCTGACAGCAGCTAAGATGGCTCTGGCACTGGTCCAAAACCAGCTAAAATAAATCAGGAAACAGTAGAGCTCAGGGAAGAAATGCCAGTTTTTACAACAATTGCAGAAAACCCCACATGTACCAATTTCTCTGAGATGCTCTTTCCTGTGAGAAAATGCATGGTAGAAAATGCTCAATTGTCCTGTAAAAAAACCACAACTGGAAAATGCAGTTTGTGTTTGCAGTGCTGAATGTACTGTGCCTGGGTTACTGTCTGAATTTCACAATGATATTCTGATTCAAAAACCAAAGTTGCCCAAGTTACTTCCCCACTGTTCATTTCCAAATTGCTTGAGCTGGTAACACGTGAGCCTTGGAGCTGTGGGGAAAGTCAGCTACAAGCCCTGCAAGCTGCAGGGAGCCAAACTTGGGCAGAGCCAACTTTTCCAACTTCTCTGAAGCCAGGGCATGTCAAATAAAGGAGTGACCCAATTGTCAGACATATTTTTATCTGGGTAGGTTACACGTGGTTTTGCTTATCAGTGACAGAGATCCAAGAAGATTTGATAATCCATGAGCTAAAATAGGAACTAAACCCAACCCTGGCTGGCTCCTGAGCTCCTGCTGAGCTAAAAAAGCTTGTGAGCCCCAAGGCTGGCCCATTTTTGTCCTTTATTGTAGGAAAACACAGCAACCCTCCCTATCTCAGTCCCATCTTGGCCTTGCCCACACTGTACTTGTAGGTAAGGAAATAAATCTAATCTAAAATGCTCAATGTTACCATATCAGATTTGGGCTTGCTCTCAGAATTGCTGCACCCAGCTCGTGCAGAGCAGCCAGGCAAAGCTTTCCTGGAGCATGCTCTGAGGATTGGTACCGAGCTATGAGCAAGTTGTATTCTTGTTACAAGCATGAAGAACTCTCCACTGGGTGGGATAAGGCACCACATTTACACATTAACACCTTCCCAGAAAGCCCAGGAAAAGCTACTTTTTGTTATTGCAGCAGGATTTTGCAGCTCTGTGCTGGGACTCCTGCATTTCACAGGAGTTTGTGCACACACACAATGGTCCTACCACTCCTTTATCCACATAACCTATGGGTGCTACCTTGCAGTGGAGAAAGCAAATTAGGAATCTGCTAGAACATACTCATGTTAATCAGCAGGCCTCTAATGAAGCTGGTGCTGCTCTGTTTGAACATTCAGTTTTAAGATTTCTCTTCAGCTCTCAGACAAAAGTTAGACAATTAACCTCCCATTAATATTAAACCAAAGTGGATTGACTTTTCCCCTTCAGATTTCTCCAATTTTTTTGTCCTACCCAGCAGTCCCAGCCCTGCCAAGCTGCACACGGGTGTTGTTTGCTCTTAGTCATCACCTGCATCTGCTCACTCTGATTTCTCATTTATCCCATCCCCCACTGGAACATTTTATCCTAATTGAACGTGGAAATACAGGCAGGATATATGGAGTGTGCAACAGGGTCTGACAGCACAGATTGCAATTAAAGCTGTTTAAAATAGCACAAAACTGTTAATTGCCATCGAGTGAAAAATTGGCCATTTGCAGCAGAATTGTTCTCATTATTCCACAGTTTGAAAGGATTTGTGAGGATTTAGGGACGCGCAGGGAGCGAGTGCTGGCACCATTAGAGGGTGCTGGAGTCCACACAATCCCAATCCACATCCAGCTCCATCCAGCTCTAGAGCTGCTCGTTCTCCTCAGGGACAGCAGAGTCTCAGAAAGACAAATCTGGGGATGAAAAACCATAATCGTGTTTTGTCACGTGTAGAAGCCTTGCCCAAATAGCGACTGAAATCTTTCCCCACAGCTATTGTCTTCACAGGCTCCACAAAGACTCATGTCTGATCAAATGCACTTATAAAGTAGATTTAGGCAAAAAGTGCCATGAAATACCATAAAC